TTATTTATTTATTTATAGACAGAGGGGTCTTCCTAGGTACCCCAGGCTGTCCAGCCCTGGAATTCTCTAGCCTAGGCCTCATGAGTGCTGGGATTAGACCCCTAGCTAACTGAATTAACATTTTAATCAGAGAAGGTTCTGAATTCCCCCCACCCTGGTTCCTCTAGGATGCATTCGCTAAGAGCTCACCACTGTCCAAGGCCCACACTGCGGAGCTCGGTCACAGATACTTCTCAGGGCTCAGCCCCGGAGGGTCAGAGCGGAGCTTATCCTCCTGCGACCACAGCCCGGTATTAAGAGCATCTCCACACCCGGCTGATGTAACACCCATCGGCATCACCCTTAGGGAGAATGACGGCTCTCCTTGTGTTTACGCTCTTATTAAAATTTTTGGTTTACTTCTTTATTTTCAAGCCTTTTCTTTACCCCCTGGGTGGGCTTTATAAAATCTTTTTTTTTTTTTTTTTTCTGAAAAAGCCAGAAAGCCAAAACACCAGGGACGCATCGGTCTCAAAACTCGCCGGGCATCCGTTTTTGTTTTTTTTTTTTCCTGGCTTTATTTGTGTTTAGTATTTTCAATTTGTTGTGAAAACGCTTCTCTTCAAGGCGTATTTGCAAAGCGGCTCTCCATCCCGCACTCCCCTGTGGCATCTTCTGCTCCAGGACCTCGGGACCACGGATGTCACCTGCACACGTGGGGGCGCGTGGGTGTCCAGGGGCGCCCGGATCGCCCATCTCAGCCTGTCCCCGGCCGCGAGCTCTTCGGTCCGCACAATTCTGGGGGATGAGAACCGAACCGCCAGAACGGTGGAGAGACTAACTCCTGCGTCCCCGCTACCGTTCCTCTGGGGACCACGAGGTCAGTGTACTCCCGAGGGCTGATCCCAGGGGCGCGACCAGAGTTGGCTTCAAGGTCCAGGGCCGGCGTGGGGACCGTTGGCCCCTAGCCTCCGGAGGACTAGCAGACGGCACCCCCGAACACGCAAACACCCCCGCCCCCAGCTCAGCCCGCGGTCCGCAGCTCCCGCGCGTCCTTAAAGCCACGGCTCCACCCCGCCCGCCCCGCCCACCCACGGTCCCACCCAACCGCACGGTCCCCCGCGGCGCGGCCGAGCACAGCAGAGTCTGGAGCCGCAAAGGAGCGCGCCGCCCGCCGGTTTCCCTACCCACTTGAGCGTCCCAGCTCCCCGACCACCACCCGCCACCATGTCTAGCGAGGACCTGGCCCGCAAGCTGCAGCACCGACTGAGGCTCCAGGCGCGGGCGGAGGACGGCCAAGACGGCCCCCAACCCGCACCCTGCTCTACCGGGACCCGGGAGACCGAAGCCCCCGCCCGGGAGCTGGTAGCCAGCGCCGACGCCGAACTTAGCGCCCAGCTGAGCCGGAGGCTGGACATCAACCAGGGCGCGGTGCGGCCCCGGCGCTGCAAGGTCTTCAACCCCTATACCGAGTTCCCGGAGTTCAGCCGCCGCCTCCTCAAGGACCTGGAGAGCATGTTCAAACTGTGAGCGTGCGCCTTCCGCCCCCAGGCAGGGACCCGGGGGAACCGGCGAACCCGGACGGGCTGGGGGCGGCTGGGCGGCTCGGGTGAACGGTCGGGGAGGAGATGCAGGGGTTCCGAGGAGCTACGAGGGTGCAGGGCGCACTGAGCACAGCCACTTCGTGCGCGCCAGAGTCCATGGCGCGCGGTGGGAACTTCGCTGGGGACCTGAGGGTTAGGAGCACACCTGTCCCGGCCCAGCCCAGGTGTCCCCAGCTCCCCGGCTCTCTCCGGACGAGTCCTGCCCCCTCCACCCAGAGATCTGCTCTAAGGTACTTCTAGGAAGGGAGCCCCCGGGGCACCTCATCTACCAGCTTTAAACTTTATCCTTCAAGGGAGAAATTGGCCTTTGTTGGTCTTTTATCTTTAAAGCAAAGGGGGGAAAGTCTATTCCTGGCTTTCGCAAGGGGTCTGATGTACAAAGGGATTCCAAGAACCCGAACGTCTTGGGCGTCCTCCCGAGAGGGGGCATTCCTGGTGGGTTACCCGCTTTCTGAGTCAAGTTGGAAATGTGTGGCAGAAACGGACTTGGACGCTGGCTTTCGTCTCTAGGGGACTGGTTTCTGTAAGCTTGAACCAGTGCGCACCTGGAGGCTACGGGTGCTCCCAATCACAGGGCAATAGAGGCGCGCATACAGAGATCGATTAAAGAGGCTTTGTCACCTGGACCTCTGGAGAGTGGAAGCAGTAAAGATATTTGCTTTTTATGCACTTTTTTTTCGTCTTTTTTTTTTTTTTAAATTTTATGTGTATGTAGGTAAGTGCACCCGTGTCGTGCGATGCCTGCGGAGGTCAGAAGAGGCTGTCGGATCCCCTGGGACTGGGGTTACCGCCAGTTGTTAGCTGCCATGTGGGTGCTGGGACTCGAACTCGTCGTCTTCTGCAAGAACAACCAGTGTTCTTAACCATTCTCTCCAGCCCCTGAACTCACTATGTAGACCAGGCTGGCCTTGAACTCATAGAGATCTGCCTGCCTCTGCCTCCTGAGTGACGGGATTACAGGCGTGTGCCACCACGCCCGGCTTCTTGCATTTTTAAAAGTTTTGTTTTTAATTATTTATTGTGTATAGGCGCACGTGGAGGTCAGAGGCAACTTGCCGGAGTCCTCTTTCCACCTTGTGGGTCCCAGGATTGAACTCAGGTGGTCAGACTTGTGGGCAAGTGCCTTTACCCACTCAGCCATCACGCCTGCCCCACCTTTGCCTTTTAAGGCCATAGAGTATTCTGCACACCGAAAACGCCTCACCAAGCTATTAATATTATTTCCAGAATTGGGCCGAGACCGGAAAAATGACTGGGGGAGTGCAGGCCGCCGGCCAGGTCATGCTTGGGTGTCTTTAAAAGCGCTTGGAATGTGTTTGCCCTCTGCCAGGAGGTTCTATTTAAAGGCGCTGTGGCGGGTGTCGCCCCCACTGTGCCTGAGCAGAGGTCTGCAAAGCTGGGCACCTGTAGCATCCGCTACCCCTCTGACACCTTGATCTCTCAGTCCCTGGCTTCCAGCCACTGTTTTCTGGGTTCAGTTTGGGCAACAACATAGGGAGGCTGAGTTGCGACTAAAGAATGAGACTGGGGTGACAGTGGTGTGACAGTGGCTTGACCCCAGGATTTACTTGGGGGTTTTGCCTTTCATAGAACTGCTCTTGCTCGGATGCCTGACCCCCTCCCCCCACCCCCCATACCACGTAGCAACCCCTCTAGTCTGGGTGGCTATAATCTCTCAGGCTTTTGTTTTCCTTTTGAAACACTTTAGAATGTTAAGTTTGTTAGTTGGCTACTGAAGGGTAATAAAGGAAAGTCCATCTGGTCAGGAGGTCTTGGGGGACCAAGCAAGGTGACACTGGTAAAGAAGCAGATATTGGGCCCAGCATCAGACTAAGGGGATGGACTTGAACTCACTGTATAAGGGAGGATGACCTTGAATTCTTCTGATCTTCTTGCCTCCATCTCCCAAGTGTTGGGATTACAGGCTTGCACCACCATACCCATTTCTACAGTGCTGGGGACCAAACCCAGGGCTTTGTGTATGCTAGACAAGTACTTTACCAACTGAGCTATATCCCCAGCCTTCTGCCTTTTAAAAGAAAATTTAAAACTCTGTCCATGTCTCCCAAAGACTCACTTGCCCAATTTGCCCCAGACTTGCACACAGTGCAGCTGCCTTGACTGATAGCTGCTGGCCAGGCAGGGGAAACGAACGCTGTAAGGGGCCTTGGGGCTCCTCTGCAGCCTGAACCTCCCCAGAAACCAGCACATTAAGGCCAGCCCCTCTCTGTTCTCACCCTGGGAACCTGGTCTGTTGAGGCAAAGTTCAAACCTCGTGCCCCCCCATAATCCTTACCACCCTCAACTCAGCTGCATCTTTCTTGAATAACTAAAAAGCATGCTAAAACTCCCCAAACACATAGCTTACCAGTTTGCCTTCCATGGGGATGGCTTCCTACCTTTCCCTCCTGGTAGAGCAGTCTGGGAGGCTGTGGGAGCAGGACTTTCTGGCTTCAAACCTGACCTCACCTCTGCTTCCCAGCCAGCTTAAGTGTACTGTGTATTTGGGGTCCCCTTTGGGCAGGTGGGGCTGTCCTATGGTGTGGGAAGAAGTCACTAATTTTTAATCTATTTATTGCTTCTTCTCATTGTTATTTTGTTTTTTTTGAAACAGGGTCTCACTCTGTAGCCCTGGCTGACCTTGAACTCAAAGCAATCTCCTTTCCTTAATCTACAGGATTACAGATGAGTTACCACATATGGCTTCAGTCACTGATTTTTTAATAGATTGCATGGCTGTCATTTTGGTCCCCCAAGAAAATTTTTTTGTTTAATGATTCACTTTACCAAGTCAGAGTCACCACTTAAGGGAGACTAACCCTGTAGGGGCTTTTGTTTGTTTGCAAACTGTCTTTTTTTGTTTTTGTTTTTGTTTTTTTTTAAGTCAGAAAGGAATGAATCACAGGTGTGCACCATCATAGCTTTCAAGAGCCTGTTTGAGCTGTGCTGTGGGGGTCTGGTCCTTCTGGAATCTGTTGTCAGGTCACTGGCTCAGTGTCCTGGTTCACTGGGGCTGCCAGGACAAAATTCCATACCCTGGTAGCTTAAGCAAACCAAACTTAATTCTTTACAATTCTGAAAGCTAGAAATCTACAGTGGAGGTGTTAGCAGGGCTGTGCCGGCTCTGAAGGCTCTGGGAAACAATCTTCCTGCCTCTCTCCTCAATTCTGGTTGGGCTTTGGCATCTACAAAGACCCTATTTCCAACCAAGGTCACATTGTGAGATTCTGAGTAGACAAGATTTAAGGGAAAGAGGGTTCTACTTAAGCCAGGAGAGCAACCGAGACAAGCTACCCAGTCCTTGAAACTCCATTTCTAGAGATTGGGGGCTCCTAGGACGTCCTCAGATTTAGGGAAGTCAGAATCTCAGACTTACTCAAAGCTAGGACAATGCTTGTGGAACCCCACCCATCTCCTCCAGGAATCAACCCTCTCTAAGCCAGCCCCATGTAGAAAAGCAGTCCAGCAGAACCCAGCCCCACTGTGCCAAGAACATGCTGGTTTAAGCTGGAATTTCACTTTTCAGTAGTTTCTAGATGCACATTCTGATGTCGCCTTTTTTTCCTTGCAGGGTGTAACCCGATTAGACCAGCACACACAAAGCACACCCACTCTGTTGGGAAGGGGGGTTGGTAGATTCACAGACATTGTAAAATGTCCTTTGGCCTTTTACATTTGATTTTCTTGTAAATTATTGGGTTTAGGGGTTTCATTCATTTTCAAGGTTTAAAAAGGGGGGGAGGGGTGCTTTCCAGCCCATGAGCACGTGGCTCTCTGGAGTGTTGCTTGTCTTTGTGTTCTTAGGGCCTAAAACAAATGAGCCTGCATCCTAAATGGTGTGTGGGGGAAGAAAGAACTTTGTAATGAGTGTGGGAAGCCAGAGGCACTGGCAGCCTGGCAGGAGCGAGGTGACTCTCTCTTTCCAAGCGGGTCACTAGATAGCTGAAGCCAGAGCAGTGGCCTGATTTTGAGTAGGGTGAGAGCGCGCAGAGGAAGCTGACCCTGTCGTTTGTGCACACCACTGAAACCCGAGTGGAGCTGGCTGTGCAGTCAAGGTTAGACAGGGAACTTTAATTACCTTGGCTGTTCCAGAGCCTTCTGTGGAAGGGAGGTAATGGGGACAGCCACTTACGGGCCTGCCTCTGCAGCATGGTGAGAGCTTGGGTTTCAACTCCCCAAAGAAAGGGTGGGAAGGGGAACATTTGCAGATGGGCAAAGTTGCTTTTTCATTAAGAATCCAAAATGCTGATGTCACGGAAGTCCTGCCAAGGCCACACCCCCCATGTCAAGACATCACTGACCACGGAGAAGGTGGAATTCATTTCCCTCCCTTTCTCCCCCAGTTTCTTTTTCTCCTCCTCAGTCTTGCCTGGCGGGAGGAAGAAAGGAATGTAGACTGTTGGGGTTTTTTTCTTTCTTATTTTTGGTTCTAAGGAAGGAACCCAGGGCCCTGTGCATGTCTAGCATACCCTCTACCATTGAGCTATACCCTCAGTCCCCCAGAGGGGACAGATATAGATTGGAAAGCTGGGAATTTGCCACAGGAGTGAAGTGAACCCCCCAGGTGCACTAGGAAGTGGAGGGGAGGCACCTGCTTCCCCACATCTTAAGCTTTAATGTCAACTGGCTTTTACCACAGGGCAGATGGGAGCAGAGTGTACACTCAACGTACTTGAGGCGCTGGGTCACATCCCAAGTGCGAGCCCTGTTTGCCTGTGCACATATGCAGAATGAGGATGGTGGGGAGAAATAAATGGAAACTAAGGATTCTCTTCTCAGAGTTCTGACTCATCTGGATTACAGCCCCTGCCAATAGTGATTCACCTTGGATTTAAAGTTTTCTCACCTGCACTGGGGTTTGTACATTTAGCCATCTTGACCCGAGGGGAGGAGGAAGAGGAGCCAGGGCTCAGTGGAATTTC